AGTTTGTGAAACTTCACAGTGTCTTTAACTACATTGTAATTATTTCAAAATATAAATACAATGTACGCACTGTGTTCCTATGTGTTGCAGATAATTTATAGTGCTCTTAAGCTGGGATATGAGTAGGGTTAGGGACAGTTTTAGTGTTATGGGTAGGTTTAAGTGTGGGTTACTAAACTTTTTTAGCCCCTCGACTCCCAAAATAACCATTCCAATGAATCGCAACCCCTACTATCCTCATAGATGGTTATAAACATACAAAGATTGCACACAACGATGCACACACATCAAAAGGAACTAATATACACAAGCTTATTAACGACACAAAAGAAAGTGCTACAGTCTAACAACCATATCATTTTTTATTGTCATTTGTTTAATTTAATATTAATATCACTTAATGATCATGTAAGCACCATGTTAACAGCACAAGACTATTTTTGGTATAATTTTGAAGATCACTTGGAGATCATCCTCTATGTTCAGTTGTGGCCTTTATCTTTAATGTATGTGAGTGCAGTAAAGGTGTCAAAATTTAACATTGTGCGTAAAATCAAACTGCTGCAACTAACACTATTAATTAATAACACTATTAATCTAGCGTAATAACCCCAGGGGTCACAATCCACTGGTAAAAGAATTTAAAGGCTTATAGCTTTTTATTTGCATGTTGTTATTTCATGTAACTATGAAATACTATTTTGATCTTCTGTAGGTTATGGATACAATATGGTAATTCTAATAGTTTAATAACATATATGATATTTCTGAAAAAGTACCAATTGTTCTGTAGACTATAGAAACCAGTTTTAGCTTAAAGGGGCTAATAATTTTGTCCTTAAAATGGTGTTTACAAAAATTAATAACTGTTTTTATTCTAGCTGAAATAAAACAAATAAGACTTTCTCCAGAAGAAAAAAATATTATCAGACATGTTATCAAAATGTCCTTGCCCTGTTAAACATAATTTGGGAAATATTTAGAAAATAAGAACAAAAAATTCAAAGGGGGCTTATAATTCTGACTTCAACTGTGTGTGTGTGTGTGTGTGTGTGTGTGTGTGTGTGTGTGTGTATGTATACATATATATATACATGTTTGTACAATTCAAAACCCATTGGAAACAGTGTACAGCCAATGCCATTATTCCATCACTACATTCTACCATTGTCCAGGTTTTTATCATAATAGAGCATGTGTAATTCAACAAGTAATTCATACCAGGAAGTGTCACAAAGTTGCATACGATAATTAGTCTAAACTGAGTTTAAACTGGAAGAAACGGCAGTTGAGAAATGGCTACACCTGCTCAAACCTGACGGCGAGGGTTTATTCAGTCACAGCTGAGAAGCTTTAACCAGAATCCCAATCCCGAGTTCTTCGGTCTGCCACCTGCAACACACGTGTTCTGCAGAATGGCCTTCCTGTGGGTTTTTTTGTGTGTTCATTTCCCAACTGGCACTAGGTCAACATCTCATTCAGCACCTCGATGTGTTACAGTGTTTACAGTCCTTGTCCAAAGCCAACAGCTGATTTGTCTGCAGCGTTTCCCCTTGCAGTATTATAGAGAGGCACCCAGCCGACACCAAATGGTTTGCAGCATTTTGTCTCTCTTTTTTTCCTTTTAAGCTGTTTTTTATGAGCCTTGAAAAGTCATGGATGTTCTCGACAGATAACATCGCACATTAAGAAGAATGTGATGTAATGGAGAGGAATGCTTTTAGAAAGAACTTGAGACTTATTCACAGATTTCCAGGACAATCTCAGGTCATCTCCAAAACAATCTAGTCTACTGTCATGACAATGGGCTAGCATCCATTTTGGAGGGAAAAACCCACCAAAAAACATAGGAAGAAGGACCAATGCAATCTACCAAGAGTAGCGAGTTAAAAATAATGTGTCATTTTCAGAAATTACAAACACTTGTCTACTTTTTACAGCGTGCAACAAAATTCTGCTGAAGACGCATAGTTTGTGTTTTAATAGATGAAAGTTAAGCAGTGAAATAATAAGTCCAATCTTTCATGATCGTCTCTTGATGGTGCAGGAATACAATCTTGTCAATGTTTGATTAAAAATAGGTCATCTTATAATTAACATGCTGAAATAGGCAATTATAGTTATTATAGGTCAAAATGCACTCAATATTCTTCAAAACACCAAAAACGTAAATATGTTTGACTAAAAAATGTGATGTCATTGGATGTCATAGAGGAGTGGAGGCCATGAGGCAGACGACACCCACTGGTAACCTACTCAGACCTGCAGCTTCTCTTTAATGAACGTCCAGCGTTCTCCAGCCTCCAGCACCTAGACTTCAGCTCTGCACAAGAAATTTGGCCAAAGGAAAAACGGTCGTGTCCAACTGAGCCTGGTTTCTCTTGAGGTTTTTCCTTGCACTTTCGTCAATTGGTGAATGGAGCTAAGCATTGATGAATTTGCTCTTCAGTGTTTGGACTTTCAGCAGTGAAAATTAAATCACACTAAACTGAACTAGCCTAAACTACAACTCTGACAACTGGACTGATACAGTTTCATATCACTAGTACTTCTATTTTAAGCTGCTTCTATTTTAATCTACATTGTAAGTGCTATATATGAAGATTAATTAATTTGTTGGTACAGAGGTGGAAACACCTCATGATCTCTCTGTTAAGCACTGGTTGCGTTCACTATTGTAAATACTGTACCTAGAACTGTCATCAGCCATGCTGGACATTTAGAGGTGTGAAAAATCTATAAATGCGACATCAAAGAAATCTTCAATCCAGGCTCAGTTTGATTACGCACCCCTATATACATTTCTGAAGAGCGGCAAATACGTTCCAGGAGGTACGTTTCATTGCACTTTTTGTTTTCGTAAACCCATCAGAGGCCACTCTGTACACATTTTCAGATCTCAAATTGCTCTCATGTGGGCCATTCACGCCTGGTCTTCTCACGTAAATCCACCAGATGCCACTGTCGACTGACTGAAGAAAACATGAAATGCAGCCATACGTTCCTCTGGCTACATGTTCGGAGTAACACATTTGCATACCTGCAAAATACGAACACCCTGAGGTGCTGTTTACACTAGTGCATTTTTGATATGCATAAAACAGTGTCATACAATAAAAATGCTCCTAGTCCAGACTGGCGTTTTTATTGCGTTTTAAAATAAAAACCCGTCTCACTATACAGCTTAAAAACCATGATACATGACTATTCACGGTTACTGGAGATGCACATATTTTGCCAACATCTATACTTGTAGTCTACTGGTTATGTGATTTTTATATCAAAGAGGCTTGACGAATCAGGGAAACAAAATAGTTCAGATAACCAATCAGAAAGTAACTAGAAAGGGAGGATAGCCATGCTGAAATGGCAAAATGCAGCCATGTGTTCCTCTGGCTCCAGAAATGTATATGGGGGTACGCTTTCAGAACGTGCCTAGGTTGGAAATCTTGGACACTTAACCCTCATCCGACACTACGAATTACAAATTTAATGTAGTTTATTGAAATGCTTGGTCTAAACTATAGTTATCCTGTCATTACTGATGTAACGGGACGAGAGATTCATACAGTATGGGCTAAAAGTACTTTTCTATATGATTGTAAAATTTTATATATTCATTTTGTAAATAAAAACTGAATTACAATATATATATATATATATATATATATATATATATATATATATATATATATATATATATATATATATATATGTAATTGACTCAAATATATTAATTTGGTTCAGATTAATATAGCCAATGTATATTTACACACAGGGATTGACATTAACTTTTTCGATCACAAGCCACTTCCACCGTTACTAGCCACTTGCCATTTTCACTAGCCACAATTTTGTTGTTGGGAAAATTTTAAATAATAGTTCAAAACAAACAAACTAAAAATTTTATTTAACAAAAATGTTCATAAAAAACAATTGACATTAAAAAAAATAATTAGCATGTATATATCTAGAAATATACACAGTAGTCTGTCCAGGCTTAAGGTCCCAGATGACTAGTCACTTTACTATAGATAAATGGAGAGTCAATCTCCTATCAAAGCAATGTTATTGTAAAAGAAGATAATTAAACCACATAAACAAAAATAAATGTAAGCAAAAGAAAGCAGTTGAAAAACATTTTGTGTGCAATAAAAAAAAAGAATGATCGCGCACACACGGTTTACATTGATAACATTAATAATCTGTTCAAAGAATGGTTAAAGTGAAAGCAGCAACCACTGCTGCTTACAAAAAAATCTCGAGTGCTTGAAAGTAGCAGGACTGTACATGCATGAGCACTGCTTTTTTCCAGGCTATTTCAAAGAGAAACAATTGCAGCAGTTGCATTTTCAGGCACGGTTGCTTTGCGCAAGTAAAAGGGAATCAGGAGCTTTTGAGCACTCATGCATATCACATCAGTTGTTGCGCGACACTGATGTCAGTGAGCTAGGATTGCCTGTATCACCGTGCGCCTGATCTTTTTCTCATTCGGTATTCACCTGCTTTCTTTTGCTCGGACGAACAGTTAACAGTCGTGCTGTACCTCGATTTTAAGAGCACTGTGTTAATGTCAAGCACTGTATATACACTATTCAATACTGTTATTTTGTCTGCTGCCATATATACTGGAATCTATTGCATTTGTCAATACATGGTTTAATTTGCAACAAGAATTAATAACATTAAAATGTTACCCCCAACACTGGCTATATGTTTTTGCATATTCTACACTTCCATTCATCACACGACATGAGTACCAAAAGAAGAACATGTCTGGAAATCTAGGTTGTTCTTGGTAGATTCACAAAGAGCATCATTCAAACTGGCCTATTGTAAAATGTCCTGTTTTGTTCATGTCCTAAGAGAGAGAGGGAGAAAAAAAAACATCCCTTGAGCATATGGATGCCTGGTTTTCTAATCAGCAATGATAGAGTGGCTTTTGATGGAGAAACTCGCTCTTTCTAAACCAGACTTCTGTTCTTTTCCCCCCTCCTCAGGTCTGATGGAAATCCGATCTGTCAGTGTGGGAGTTGTCGCCATCAAATCTGTCAGCACCGGCCTGTACTTAGCTATGTCCAAAAAGGGAACACTCTTCGGATCGGTAGGTACATCGCATGAAAATGTTCAAGTGTTTTTTCAAATCACAGATATTTGAAATAAAAATTTTGAAAGTAGGGAATACTTTAGCATGCCATATGTGTTTTCCTTAAATAATTGTAATGTAGCTGTCCTGTAAACAGTCCACAAAGTTGTTAAAAATAGACAGTGGTAAGTTTTTATGGACACCAATAATGATTAGGAAAATACTCTGATTATGAGTCTACCATGTAAACAGAGATTTTTGATTACCTTAATCTGACTTAAGTTTTAAACGAACTTAACAGAAATCAAATAAGGACATGGAATTTTCCTGTTTTAGTCGCATTATTGAAGTGCAGTACAGACATGTAAACACCTTATCAAACCTCATCAAACTATTACCGTCATGGGGGACTTTTCGCCACGTTTTGCGACAAGATAGTCTATACACACAGCTGTTTGACACTGTTTTCTGCACCAATCGATTCAGGATCATAGACATACATCATAAAATGCGGAGGGTTTTTTCGTGCAGCATGCGGTATCAAATTCCATTAAAACGCCAATCCTACTTGCATCCGATACCTCAGTTTGACATAGGGGCATGAATGAAATGTTCCTGAATGAAAGTGAAACTGCTGAACTGCAGTTAAAGTCAACAAATCATCACCTTAGAATTACAAGGTTCTATCTGACATTTTTGTCAAAATTGAGTTATTGACATATTCTTATTAAATGACAACATATTTACATTATGGGATTTTTTTATAAGTTGTTTACATTTTAAGACTTTTTATTTTGCAAAAACTTTGAAGCTCAATATCTCAAAATCATTCAGAATGCAGAATGCGAAATTAAAAATAAAACTCCCGAAATGACTTGAAACTTCAGAGGAAACGTAAATAGCATGGTGACGCAATGACGTTAATGGAATTATGTGCTATGATGTGTAAAACAGAATCATGCAAGAACATACAAAAAGCAACTCATATAAATGCCCTAATCAAATTATTGTCTTATTAAAATGAAGGCAAATTATTCAATTACCAATGTCCATTTAAACTTCGTCATTGTCTCTTAAAAGAGAGAGTCAGCTTTGAATCTGCTTAATACGTAATTATATTTTAAAATATTTTATCTAATAGTGTACGTCAACATGATGGAGTTTTTGTTAGAAAACAGCTCGTTAGAAAATGCTCGTCGTTCAGACTGGCATTTTTATTGCGTTTTAAAATAAAAACTCTCCCCTTACTATACAGCTTAAAAACCATGATACGGGACTATTCATGGGCTGTTTCTCAATTCCATGAACGTAGAGAACTGACTTGCGATCTTGTGAAAACTGGTCTTGCCAGGTGTTCTTGGAAGAACGAACTTAGGAGACCACGAGAACAGAGAACGTGTCCTTTGAAAAATGAGACGCTGCATTCTTTCCTGGTACTTCCTGATGGTCACGGGACCTTCACGCATTTTTTGTAAAAATAAATAATAATAATTTTTAAACATTATAGCATTCATACAATGATATACTGTTTTTCCCCTTTTTAAAATTTATACTCTAAAAAAGACCTCACAAATATATTTGTTGCACAATATAAATAAAACTGATTTTAATACTAATTTCAGCAAATAAACACCTTTAATGTGTTCATTCAGTTATTAAGATTTTTCGTGCAAATGTTTATATTCACTGTTTCATTTAGGGCAACTCCTGAGACAAATAAGTTATATCTCTAAACTTTAATAATAATCCTATATAAAATGCTGCACTTCCCACCTCCAGTCGCAATGACTTCTGGGACTTCTAGAGCGAGTTCGGTGCTCAAGTCTGCATCGGTGCGTCCATGATATCAAGAACACATGTGGGAAGTTTCACGCATCCTCTGTTCTTGCGGTCTTGAGTTTTGGAGCTGAACTTTGGTAGGAGATGATGACATTAAATGAGAACATGACGATGCAAGATCACTGAAGAACGCATATTGAGAAATAGCCAGTGTCACTGGGGATGCACATATTTTACCAACATCTATACTTGCAGTCTATCGGTCATATCAGAGAGGCTTGGCGAATCAGGGATAGACAATAATCTAGAAAATCAATCAGAAGACGACTGTGGATAGCCACACCTTAGTTCTCAAAAGTTTGCATTTCCTTCTGTCAACACTGAAAAGGAAAACTAGCATTTCCAAACTAAAATAGGGCCTTTAGCATTTTCAAAAATGCTCAGTTTTTGTAGAATGAATATGGTGGAATAGTGTGGATGCCAGGCATAACCTTAATAAAACTTGTGCATTTTAAAACAACAGTAGTGTAAATGGCACCTGAAATACATTCAGAAAGACCAATCAAAACAGACTTGGTCAGCTGACCAATCAGAGCAGAGTTGGATTATGGAAAGGGAGGAGTTTAAAAGACCATCAGTACCCAAATTGATTCAAATAAACCACATGGAAATCATTGAAAGATGGTTCTAATATTAAATGCTTATTATTTTAATATGAATTACAATGTCTTCTGGATTTAACATTTAAACCAGTTGTAGGGACTCCAACAAAATACTATGACATTTTAAAATGTCAAATGACCTATACTCTACAAATAGACTCTAGAATCTGCCGTCACTTACTGGCTTAGTGAAATTAGTGCGTGCCACCAGACAGTTGTTTGTGGCTTGTTTAATGAAGACGCCCCATTGCATGGTTCACTTTTAACTGCTCTCTGAGAAATCTCTGCCTGGCAATCTGTCACCCAGCCATGATAAGATGGCTTACAGATGGCTATATCTGTCCTCCGATCCCCAGAGTGAACATGACAAACCTTGGGAATCACTCGAGCACCCTTCTTTTCTTACCCTTCTAAGTGATTATTAGTCACACTCATTCCACCATGATCTTATCAAACTGTATGCTCAACCAGAACTCCAAGCATTACTGTCATCAGCCTTTTTTTCTTTGAAAGTAAATAGCTTTATCCAGCTATTTTGTTTTCATAAAGCAGCTTTTTGATTCCATGAGGGTCGATTTGCAACAACAGGCTGGTTGAGATAAATAAAAATGCATGATGGGTACACAATGAGATGTTTGGAATATTACTCACTCTCAGGTTTCTATTGCTGCTTTTCAGCACATGGTTCAATTAGCTCAGTAAGACTGTATCGGTTTATGCTTTACACTAAACATGGACCTTCAGCATGCACTGGGGCGGTTTGCTGCAGAGTGTGACATGGCTGGAATGAGAATCAGCACCTCCAAGTCCGAGGCCATGATGCTCCACCGGAAAAAGGTGGTTTGCCATCTCCAGGTTGGAAGAAAGTCCTTATCCCAGGTAGAGGAGTTCAAGTATCTTGGGGGTTTGTTCACGAGTGAGGGAAGGATGGAACGTGAGATTGACAGGCGGATTGGTGCAGCAGCAGCAGTAATGCATTGTGGTAAAGAAGGAGCTGAGGCAAAAGGCAAAGCTCTTGATTTACTGGTCAGTCTACATTCCAACTCTCACCTATCGTCATGAGCTTTGGGTAATGACTGAAAGGACAAGATCTCGAATACAAGCGGCTAAAATGAGTTTCCTTTGCAGGTTGGCAGGGCGCACCCTTATAGATAGGGTGAGGAGCTCTGTCACCTGGGAGGAGCTTGGAGTAGAGGCGCTGCTTCTCCACATCAAGAGAAGTCAGCTGAGGTGACTCAGGCATCTGTTTCGGATGCCTCCTGGACACCTACCTAGGGAGGTGTTCCAGGCATGTCCCACCAGGAGGAGGCCTTGAGTAAGACCTAGGACACGCTGGAGGGACTATGTCTCTCGGGAGGAAGTGTCTGGGGAAAGGGAAGTCTGGGGTTCTCTCCTAAGGCCCCGTTTACACTAATGCGTTTTAGTTTGAAAACGCATAAGTTTTGTTACGGTTACGCCAACCGTCCACACTACGCCGGAGTTCTCGAGCGCCGAAAAAGGAGCGTTTCGAAAACGCTGGAAAGGCTGTTTTCATTCTAAAACGCTGCTGCTCCGTCTCAGTGTGGATGATGGAAAACGGAGACATCTGAAAATGGAGGCGGGGCTGCAGACATTCGCCTCTCTGATTGGGGCTTTTCCTCAATATTAAGTAGCCTAACACACACAGTTCAGTTCTGCATCCTCTCCTTGTAAGTTCAGACTACGCAAGTTTGATCAAGGCTGCAGTCTCTTCTTCTCAGTTTGATATGGAAAAGCAGACTATACCGAGGACACGGGCAAATCTTCAAAGGGAACAGTGTACTTTATAACTTCATTCACATCACCCTGGCTCTGTTGTTTCACTTTCTCAACAATAAAATGTAAACATGATTTAAGAAACTGCCTATTTTCATTTTAAAATTAGCAACTTAGACAGCAGAAATGTTGAGGCGCCGTGCTGCATATATGAGCGTCATCTTCACTGTGTGGATATTTATAACAAAACAGAGCCGATAACAACCTCCTTTCAATTTCAGTGAAAATACGAAACACACCCTCTCTTTTGCTGAATATCAGTTTTAATAATCAATAATGGCCATTATAAAAGTATAACATACAATAAGTTTATACATTATAGGAAATAAAGGCAAGTCAATATACAGAATAGGCTACGTGGTTACATTAATCATTAACTTATCTTTGCGCTCAGCCAAAACACGTTACCTGAGAACAAGTAATAGATTTCAATGACCAAAGTCAGGGAATATGTCGTTAGATAAAGACAACAAGATGAATGAAATATCCCGTTTAATAAATATAGTGAGATTAGATCCAGCGGGAGATGCTTGATGAGAAGTCCGACTAGCAGAGCTCTCATCTGGGTAGATGGGCAGCAGCGCTTGCCCGAGAGTGTCTGTGTGATCACGTGGTGTGCGTTTTCAGCGTTTTGGTGTGGACGGAGAGCAGTTCAGAAACGCTGGGTAAAACGCGAGTGTGGACGCGGATCGTTTTCATTCTAAAACACCGTTTTAAAACTAAAACGCACTAGTGTAAACGGGGCCTAAGACTGCTGCTCCTGCGAGCCGGCCCAGGAAAAGCGGATGAAAATGAATTAATTAATGAACACTTTCATACCATTCAGGTAGACATTTTAACCAAATTGTACCTTTGAGGCCCAAAAATATACCTTTTTTAGAAGGTACTGCCCCAGTGACAGATTTTGTACTTTTTAGGTCCAAAATTGACCTAACATTTGTCTAAAACAAACTTGAAAAAGTAAGTATACTTAAAAAATTAAAAAAAAATTAAATTAAAGCTTGGCAATGAAGTGACTATTGATTCAGCAAGTAGATCTGGCAAATTGAGGCAGCTTTTTGAAGATTTTAATGTTTACGCTTAATCAGATGGTAAATGCTTTGTGACTGCAAACAAAATGACTGTCTAATTTATTTGAGAGATTTTGAACTTTTTCATCATCCAAATATGATTTTTTTCAATTTATATTAATGTGTGGTAAAACTTTATTTTGATGGTCCATATAGTAGACTGTCTGCTTAATATCTGTTGATAATGCTCCTTCAACAGGCATTTAACTGACTATAAGAAACATGCCAACTTACACTAACCCTAACCCCAACCCAACAGTTTACTTATAATCTAATGGGAATTAGCTGGCATGATGCAATGTAATTTAAATTCAACAAACGCACCATCAAACTCAAGTGTGACCAAATGTGCCATTTAGTTAACTAGACCAATGTTTCTCAACCACATTCCCGAGGGACCACCAGCTCTGCACATTTCCACATCTCCTTAACTAAACAAACCTGATTCAGAACATCAGCTCATTAGCACAGACTAAAAGATCAGTAATAGGTGTGACAGATGAAGGAGATATCCAAAACATGCAGTGTTGATGGTCTTCCAGGAACGTGGTTGAGAAACACTGATCTAGACCAATATTTCCCAACCCTGGTCCTTAAGGCACACCAACAGTGCATATTTTGGATGTCTCCCTTATCTGAACCATTCATTTTAGGAGTCTCTTCTAATGTTCTGATGAGTTGATTCAGGTGTGTTTGATTAAAAAGAGGTTGAAAATGTGTACTGTCAGTGTGCCTTTAGGAACAGGGTTGGGAAACACTAATCTAGACAAAATGGTAATTTGTATTTGACAGGATAACTGTCTTAAACAAAAACACAGCATGTACACATTTTGATTGTCACAACCAACACAGTTATAGTAGTGCCTCAACCCACTCTCTTCATTCGACTCATTGCAGGCCAGATACAACCCCAGCTGCAAGTTCAAAGAGCGGATTGAAGAGAACGGCTATAACACTTACGCCTCTCTGCGCTGGAAGCACAGGGGGAGGCAGATGTTTGTGTCACTGAACGGCCGAGGAAAACCCCGCAGAGGTCACAAAGCTAGACGGAGACACCCATCTACTCATTTCCTCCCAATGCTGCCCACATAGCCGGACACTTCATCATGAGCGACGCTATGCCATCAGCATTTGATGGGGACTTATTAAATGTTATTACGTTCTGCTCTGTCTGTTGTTGATTTTTTTCCTGAGTACTGTCACACAGTACATTAACTTATTACTCTGTCTTCAGGCTCATCCTGTGACCCAGTAAAGACTTGAGCAAGGCTGTTATTTTGATGTATATACAGGTTGTGTATTTATGTTATTGTTGAGTTAACTAGGTCATTACCGCATCTGTCTTGTACTCCTGTTATGGCAGATTACTGACTCACATCACCAACCCAGTCTCATGTCAATATTTTTGCATCCCCAAAATTATACATTTCCTGTAGTTTCCAGCTGAAATGAACAATAGAGAAAAAATGTATTGCTTTTCACTCATATTGTGATCATGGACCATTTTGTCCATTCATTGCACAATATACTCTTAAAAATGCAATTACTTCTCAACATAGGCTCATTCTGAAAACCTAGCCCTATATACATTTCTGCAGATCACAAATTGTGTAGCCAGAGGAACATTTGGCTGCATTTCATTGTTTAAAAAAAAACTCTACAGGTGATCCTGTGATCCTTTTTCACGCTTACCAGCTGACCACTTACCTCAAAATGAACGGCTTTCCCGGTGTTAACAGTTTGTCCAGTGGCTCGTCGTGTACGTTGACACACTTGAGATGCAGAGCGAAGTTGACCGTGATGATGGAGTTGAAGTCTGGTAAAGAACGACACCAGAAACCAGCTAAAACAAAAGCCAAAAAATAAAACAAGCAAGTAAATAAAAGGGGGAGAATGTGGTAAAATCTAAGAAGATGGTAAAAAATCAGACTGCAGCGAGAGCTTTTCTTTTTTAGAATTGCTTTTCAAAATGCTGTCAGTTGAGTTTGGGGAAGTGGGTGGGCGTTAGTCAATCAGTGCTTTAAAAAACACTATCGGTTGGGTTTAGGAAAGGTGGTGAGTGGGGGGGATCAGTCAGAAATGGCACTCATGAGAGAAATTTGAGATCTCAAAAAGTGTACACAGTGGCCTCTCATTATATAAATACAAATAGACCATCAAAATAAAGTGTTGCCACACATTTATATAATTTGAATGACAAAAAAAAAAAACATATTTGGCTGATGAAAAAGTTCAAAATCTCTCAAATAATTTAGACAGTCATTATGTTAGCAGTCACAAAATAATCACCTGATAGAGCAAAAGCTGCCTTAAATAACAGGGTGAGAACTTGGTAAAATCTGAATACACGGTAAAAAATCTGACTGCTGTCGGTTGAGTTCAGGGAAGTGGGTGGGTGTTGGTCAATAAGTGCTTTTAAAAACACTATTTGTTGGGTTTAGGAAAAGGGGTGGGTGGGGGTATCGTTCAGAAATGGCACTCATGAGAGAAATTTGAGATCTTAAACAGCGGGAAACATTCATTAAACATTCGCAAAAACAAAAACTGCAAAAAAATGCAGCTCCTGGGATATATTTGGTGCTCTCCAGAAATGTAAATAGGGGTACATTTTCAGAATGAACCTGGGTTGTTATTTATTGTCATTGATAGTTCCATAAAGAACTTTTAACGTTCATGTAATATTTTTGTTACAAAAAATGATTCTTTTAGTGGAAAAAAAAGATAATTTATATCATATAAAAAAAATGGTTCTTTTAAGAACAATTCACTGAAAGTTGACTTCTGCCACATAAAACCAATCTGATTTAATTTCAGGGGGGAAATATGTCCAACAACATTTTTTTTATTGAGACTGGGCTGGACATCACAGTTGGTGATTGTGCAGTTTTAAAAAAGAAAGGACTGAAACTGGTTGTTTGTCTACGTCCATTACATATATTTCAACATGAACTTTGAAGCTGTCAGTATGAAAACCTTTTTCACTATAAAAAAATATTTGTCCTCAAAATGTATTCATTCATTTATTTTTTGTGGTTAGAATGATTAAGTCTAATGAAACTCAGAAATTTCACATACTACGGATCCAAAACAAAAAGAAACCATCACAGAAGATTCACTGTGAATACCATTCATTGATCCAGTCATTAATTTATTTTCCTTCAGGTTATTCCCTTATATGTTTTACACAGCGGATGCTCACCCAGCTGCAATCCAGTACTGGGAAGCACCCATACACTCTTATTAACACATACTTGTACACTCCGGGCAATTTTGCTCATCCAGTTCACTTACACTGCATGTCTTTAGACTGTGGAGTAAACTGAAGCACCCGGAGGAAACCCACGCAAACACAGAAAGAAACATTCAAACACCACACAGAAATGCCAAATGTCTGTTCTTATTGTCACCTTAAAGGGATTGTTCACCCAAAACTGAAAATGCTATAATCATTTACTCACATTTTTTGTTTTTCTTGTTCCAAACCGGTTTGAGTTTCTTTATTCTGATAAGCACAAAAGAGGAAATTGTGAAGAAAGCTTAAAATATGCAAGCATAATTGTTTTTCTTACACTATAGAACTCAATGGTTACAGGTTTTCACCTCATTTTTTCCCCAAAATATCATTGTGCTCAACAGAAGAAAGTAGCTTATAAAGTTTTTGAACCACTTGAGTAGCCATTAATAATTGATTAAATATTTACTGTCTCTCGAGTGGTTCCCAACTTTTATCACATTCTTAATCAAGTTAATCAATTTTCATTTTGGGGTGAACTATCCCTTTAAGATATTTTAAAAATAGAACATTTCATATGTTTCAACATTTCTGATCTTCATTGTTCGCTTATGATGTTATTGTCTGAGTTTTGTCCTCAATAACCACAGTCTGCCCCATGTATGGGTGAGAATCTGGCTTCCTCCACGTGCCACTAACCACAACTGCATGTTCTGCCTACTAATGATCAACATCACCTGTTGAGTGGTTTTCCGTGGCAGAAAGTCCAAAGCTGCCATCCAAAAAGGCAGAATTCTAGCCGCACTAATGGAAGCTTCATATGTTTAAGTCAAAACAGGGCTTTGCTTTCACCTGTTGCTGGCAGTCGCTAAAAAGCTCCGGAGACGTTTATACCCATCTTGCCTGTTAGTCAAAAAGTAAAAGGATTTTATTCACTGTGTGAAATGTTGGTTGGCATTTTGTATCGGCATATGTTGAACAAGGCGATGAAAACTAATGGAGTATGCTGAGGTATATTCCGTTACAAGAGTGCTTTGGTTTATTAGCCTCATTGAATCTTGTCTTATTTGCAGGTTTAATGACAATAAAAACCCTTAATGCCACTACTACTGACATAATGATCCAACAAAACTTCATAATAGGGTCACACTTGGGCTGCAAAGCTTGGAAGACAGAGAAAAGCCCCATTCAGAAGGAAAATCATGCAGTGGAGTTGATGCTTACAAAACACCCAAGAACAAAGAAACCATATAGGTTCGTTTGAAGAACCTACATATAAAGAACTTACATATAATGCAAGATGAGTTACTAAAGACATGTAAATGAACTCTTATAAACCAAAAATGGTACTTGATATGAGAGCATCTAAGGACTTATTTTCACCTTGTACTACAGTAAATGTGTGCTATAAACAAATCTATGCTATTTGCAACTTTTCGATTTAGTGGTTAATTCATATTAAGTTGTACAAATTCATTCATACATTTTAGTGTGATTTGCTCGTCCCATAATAAGGGCAAGGGTTAGAGCTGGGCTTTGGGGGCTTTTTAAAAACTATACATTTTCACAAAGAAAATCATATGAATTTATTTAAATTAGCCACTTTTCTGACTTTATGCAAAATAGTTACGTGAGCCTGATCAAACTGAATCACAAAACATGCACGCAGCCAATCAGCAGCAGTGTTGGGCATGTTAAAATAAAGAAGTATTTAGATTTAGTTACTAGTTACTTCTTACAAATAGCAACTGAGTTAGTAAATGAATTATTCATTCATTTATATTCTTTTCGGCTTAGTCCCTTTATTAATCCGGGGTCGCCACAGCGAAATGAACCGCCAACTTATCCAGCAAGTTTTTACGCAGTGGATGCCCTTCCAGCCGCAACCCATCTCTGTGAAACATCCACACACACACACATTCACACACACACACACACTACAGACAATTTAGCCAACCCATTTCACCTGTACCACATGTTTTTGGACTGTGGGGTAAACCGGAGCACCCGGAGGAAACACACGCGAGGGCAGGGAGAACATGCAAACTCCACACAGAAACACCAACTGAGCCAAGGTTCGAACCAGTGACCCAGTGACCTTGTAAGGCGACAGCACTACCTATTGTGCCACTGCCTCGCCCATAAATGAATTATAAATCTTGAATTGAATTATAATCTTTATAAAAGCAACCATTCAATTGGCAAAATTAGCTTTGTGTGCTCTAAACGTGTCACTTTAGATGACTTGTGTTTAGATCTCACAGAGAATTTTCCAGCCCGCTCTCACAAGTAAACCCCTTTTTTTTGTATTCTATGCATTATGTGGCTAATTCGTGCAAATTCATTCAATTTCATTAGTATGAAACATACAATGTTTTAAAAGGAGGTGTGTTTCCAAACCCCAACCCTAATCCTATACCTCATTAGGAGGATATGCAAATCATACTAAAATAAATGACTGAGATTAGGGCTGGGTAGGACGACAGACCTTTTCTTGAGCTTTACTTTGCACTACAATGACGATGATTGAAAGCTGCACTGAGATACCTTGAGATGGCATATTTTCCATTACATTAAAATAATTTTTTACATAAAATATTTGTTTTATGAAAATGCAAAAAAATAAAAAATACTGTTTAAAATATTATTTACAGGATATACAAGAGCTAGTTTATTTAATTTTATTTAACTAAATGTTATTTTCTACTTTTAATATGAAAACATTAAAAATAATTTATTTTGTTTCCAAAAGTGCAAGTTATTTATTTATATATTAAGTTTTAGGCAATGTGTGCTTTAATTTCAGTTATTATTTAATTTTCAGTAATAATAAATAAATAAATAAATAAATCATAGATAG